ACAACAAATGCTTAGCAGACAATTGGTCAAAGGATCGGCTTCAGTTGTCTCTTTGACGAGTTATAGTGTGGCTATAAGATTGACAACACTCACTGACGATGCTGATTACGATACCGGCGAAACTTCTGGAAATGTATTAAGTCCACTGTCCGACTCTTGAAATTTTCATGCATACTATGGACTATGCTCTAGTTGCATTCCTCTAGGTCTTCCTACTAATATAACCAATTTGCTAAAACAAAGTCAAACAACTTCGCTATTTCATAAGGAGACTGCGATCATACAAGAGGCCACACCATCTTGGTCTTCATACCATAAATCACTGATTTGAATTCTATACATATGCTCTTTTATTAGCCAACTTTAGTATGGATGAATTTAGCCGATTTACTAGTTGAGGATACCTCAAATACTATTTTGTCCTTTAATTATATCATTGAAAGATTAAAAGCTCTCTATTTTAACTTTGATAATTTTTAACTTTTTTCATGCATATACATTTTTCTATTCTACCCTTCAGGCTGGAGCCGATGTCGATAATGAAGAGCAATCGTCCGATTTCGATCCTTCGACAGACGTCGCTGACCAAGTGGAATGTCTGCGAAAATGGCTTTCAAACGAAGGTGGAATGGCTAAAAATTTGGGCGGTGGACTGATGGTTCGTGACTTGGAGTTAGTTCTCTGTCACGACTTAGCTGGTCTGGCAAAATGGGCTGATCAGCGCCGTGGGCTGACTCATGCTGATATTGCTCTTCTCAAGGTAGTCCTGACCAGTGGCTTCTATCCTCAGTTAGCAATAGGCGATCCGGCGAACGCCTACCGTGTGGCCAACAAGGGGGGGGCTGCTGGCCCCGGCGCTGAAATGGTATTTCATGCTCCGGTAAGTCTATTTAGACAATCATTGATAGAATACTAGGCGTAGAGGTAAATAGGTGGACGCATGGCTCGTTAATGTGGTAGACGCTTTGATATTTACTAATTGCACAGGCTAGGCAAACAGGCTAGGTTTGTTTCTAGGTATAAATAGCAGGATTCTCCTTGAACAACTTCTTTCCCTGATCTTTATACTTTATTCTTTTTAGACCAAAAGTTTTCTCATGCTTCAACCCACGGATTTCTTCGTACGCAAGCCAGATTACCTATTTCCTTGCGATCGTCCTACTTCAGCAGTCTCAGAAGAAAACTTCGCTGCTTGTTTATTAGTAGAAGACAAAAGAGCTGGGCAGGAGGTATCTATACTAAAAAATCGTTCCTTGATTGATGCGACAAATCATCAAAAAGGTCTACCGTCAGCACCAGCGAACACACTTCTGGGGGCTAGAGGGGTTTCACATGACGGCTATGCTTTAGA